TATTGAGTAAAAGAAAATAGGTCTAAAAAATGGCGCAAGTAATCCTGATAGCTCGAGAAGCCCATGAACAAGAAGTTGAACATGTGAGAGAAGAACTTTCGAGCACAATCGTCTGTCAGGACAAAACGGGTTGCAAGAAAAGCCCAAGGCTCGTGAACCGCTCAAGAGCAAAAAGAAAAAGAAAAAGAAAAAGAGCTTGACTCAAGACAGACTCAAAAGAAAATTGGTTGAGTATGAGCTTCTTTATAGCTCGGTTCAATAGTTAGCCGAGTTTGAGTAAGGCCAGCTCTTTCTATTTTGACCACATAGCTCGAGTACCATAGGTACTTTATCTGGAGAAAGAGGATGAAAATCAGAATAATTTCTAGTATTTTTCTTCTTCTAAAAATGGCCTGAGATCGACTCAAGATCATTACTAACCAACTATCAGCCAACTTTGCAATTGTAATTCTATCTAGAGTTCATTTTGTTAGGGCAGCTAGAGTTCTGTTGAGCTAGCTCCTTGTTAACATGTGCTGAGCCTAGGTATGTCTAGGTTGCTTAAAGTCGACTCGTTTGCACCCCCTAGAAGCGGCCTGATACTAGTTGGTTCAATTGTATTCGTCTCATATTTTCGCAAATTCGATATATGGAAGCTTAAGAGTTAAGATCATGCATAAGGACAATAATTTTGAACAACTGCCTTCCCATTCATTCACATGCAGCACGGTTAATTTCTTTGTCCATCCTAGTACAAATTAAGCAATCGCTTGGAAAAACATAAGCCAATCCAAATCGTACGCGGAAGGATCCAAGTTGCTCCGATCCGAAATAAGATCGAGCAATTCCAGCCAGGGCTGCTCCTGCTGCTCCACAGCAAAAGATGGCGCAGCAGCAGCGGCAGCCCGCAACTCCACTTCTCATCGTGCCGACGGAACAAACGGCGGGCCTCGCGTCTTCCTCCGCCCGGCTAGTCATTGCAGCTCGGCACCGCCGATGACCTGCTGCATGTACTTGCAGGACCTCTGGTAGCTGACGAAGCCCATGAACCAGAACTCGAAGCCGTCGACGGTGGCGACGTGGATGTACTTCTCCTCCGGCCGGTCGACGTTCTCGCTCGGCCGCACCTTGTCGATCCGCTTGAGCGGGACGACCACCTTGTAGGAGACGCGCGCCACGTCGCCCCTGGGGGAGGTGACGGTGACGGGCCGGTCGCTGCGGAAGGCGATCCTCTTGGTGGAGACGAAGAGCATCCCGGCGATGGGGCCGCCGGTGGTGTAGAGGTAGCACTGCAGCGCCTTCACCAGCCGCTCGCCCTTCTCGGCCGTGAACGCCTTCCGGAACACGCGCTCGATCCCGCCGGCCTGCAGGATCTTGGCCCCCAGGCTCAGCTTCCCCTTCACGGTCTCCGATATCTTGGGACCCAGGGTCACTGCATACGGTGAACAATGTTGGTCAGAACACAAGCACCTTTCACGCACCAACATTTAACAGCCATTGAATTACAGAAGAAACATGCATGCACGATCGAGTGCGTGCTACTCACCATGCTCACGGAAGCCTTGCGCCCTTCTGCTCAGCTTGCTCACCCAGTGGACAACCTGACCTTTGCTGCCTGCAGAATCAACACATAATTTAATTAGCATAAGCCTCAACATCTTTGCTCTTGCATGCATGCGTCAGAAGTTCGATGGCAAAATATGGCCATGCATGCATGAATGATCGGGACCTACTGTGCTTGTAGCCGAAAGAAGTGTAGGGGCTAGGATTCGTCAAGGAGACAGCAAGGTGGTCGCCGTCGGCCTTCCTGAACGACTGGCCGTCCCTGGCCGACGGCGCCTTCTCCTCAATCCCATACGCCTTGGAGGTCACCGGGACTCCCACGACATGGCCGCCGCTGCTCGACTTCATCTTGGCTGGCTGCTGCAGGAAGCTCGACGAAGAACGAGCGATCAACTAGGTCCGGCGTGCGTTGCGCTGCGCTGGTGGTGGTGGCTTAACTTAGCGAGTAAGGTATCGGGGATTGGTACCGGAGTGCCGCTGCGGTGGCCGGGCTTTTATAGGCGGCCGCGCGCGGTGGTGGATCCTTTTGGCAAAGGCAGCGGACATGCGGAGTCAGCAGCCGGGCCGGCCGAGTCACCGGCGGATCAGAAAGGCGCGCGCGGTCGTCCACGTTCGTGTGTGGAGCTGGCCGCGTCATTCCTTGGCTAATTCGGCCTGGCCAACCTAGCTAGAGACGGAGCTTTAGCGGCCCTTGGCCCTTGCCCCCTTTCCATTTCCATGGGAGGGCCAGGTGCAGTATATTCATTTGCTCGAAAGCGCGATTCGAGATTTCTCTATGGGATCGGGGCATGGCATGGCGAGATGGCTACGTGCGGTGGGTTCTCTGCCGCTTTCCAGGAAGCGCCCCATGTGCCTGCACATTCTCGCTCCCACCGGATTACGGGTAAAGGCGGGTGGCGCCGTGTCGGGGGCAACAACGGACCCCATCGATGCGCAGTGCAAGGACCAGTAGGATGCATAAGTTTTCTTGTAGGGATCGATGCCATGCCTGTGTAGATGACTTTCGTCTCGTGCACTGCACTCAGACAGTATACTACTGTATCTTCCCGCAAAAAAAAAAGTATACTACTGTATCATAATATCAGTAACATGCATGCATGTAGACCATATATGTGCATGCACGTGGACCATATATGTGTACACATCATCTAGGTTTGTAATGTTGACGGTCCAACGCAAGGGCGGCAAGAGTTTGTTCCCGAGATCGCTGCCGCAATGGACCTCTAACCATGATCCATCGATTCATCGACGTGGAACCAGGGCGAACATGACTCACTCACAGCCATTTCACTGAAAATCGACCAGAACACCGCTAACAACAGTTTGGCAGTTGGTACTCTTCCAAGCCGAGCTTGCCCACCCATCGAAGTTTCCGCTCGTGCTACCCTACCCACAAATCTACACGTCCTGTTCGGAGTCAGACCCCACGCAGCACCGAGTCAGCATGCCTGCAGCCTCACCTAACATCGCATGTAACCGTCGGCCCGGGGCGCAGTGCGTGCGTGTCCACCCGGTAGCGGTGCACCGGCAAGCGCGGCCGGCATGGGCGCCATACCGTCTCTGTCCCCCGGATTTGAACCGGCAACCACACGGGCGTTGCGAGGTCGGCCGCTGCACCGTCCCCGAATCTGCGAGGCTTGGTTCATGGTTTGTTGGGCGCGAATGAATGCGCGCGCGCGCGCGACGTCGGCCGGCCGCGTTGTCTTGTCACATGGAGAGCCCGCAGCTACCTACTCTACTCGTCGGAGGCAGATCTTGGCTTTCGGGTGGGGCTCGCCGCCGTCTCAGCGTATCTGCGCCGCGGACTACGTGTCGAAGCCGAAGCGGAGATGTCGCGGCGAGGGAAAGGGAGATCACGAGACGAGATCGGTTTCAGGCCGACCAGTTCCGTCCTTCGGAAAAGATGGAAAATGGCACAGCGAAATAGTGGTAACAGTGATGTCCTGCGTTTTATCGAAAGGAAAAAAGGTGATGTGCTGCGCCTACCCCCAATAATACTCCTGCACCTACGATGCAGATGTAAACGTATGAATATTTTTCAGTGTGTTTTATTAGGTCGATCAAATGCTAACCCAGAATTCATACCAACGACCTTTTGATGTGCTACATAGATTTCTAAACTAACACGTGAGTGCATGAATCTTAATAAACTTGGTATGTTTTGAGCCATGGTAGGAGGAGAGCAAGTCACTCTTAATTTCTGGGTTGAGTTGCTCTTGAGAGAAACTTTAAACACAAAGAGCTTTATCTGCTACTCCCTCTGACACCATGACAGTGTCAAAATACGTCTTATATTAAGTTACGGAGGGAGTATCTTGATATACCCACCCCCATTCCCGCCCTAGTTCATCTTGATTTCTGTCCCCTCTCCACCCCGAGAGAGGAGGCTGTGGCGGGTAGGTCTTTTAGTTTTTGTGAGGAAGAGCGGGAAGAGACTAGAGGTGATCTGATGGCAGGAAGACAAGGAAAATGGCAATCTAGGCCTAACAAGGGATGACAAGGTGATGTAGTAATTCCAGTCAGAACACGTTCTTGGCAGGGCAGGAAGAATTATGGCAGACAATATAGCAGAAACTAGGATCAATATAATGGGAAAGATGGAGAAGGAGGATTTAGAGATGGTTTCTATGGGAACAATATTGGTAGTAGTGGTGCACATGTCTTTCGGTTGAATAGAGGTGTAGGTTTCCCCTACTCAGACAGGCTATCGGGGTCAAAGTAATGGAAGATTGCAAGGTTGGTTTGGACGTTTGGTAGCAACCCCTTTATGCCTAACCAATGTGTCTGGAGCACAACAAGGGGTACAAGTGGGAAAATCCAAGCCCTTCTAATCAAAAAATTGGTGGAGTAGCTTAGATGAGGAGTTTGCAGCAGTCGCGAGTACAATTTTCTTCCTTACCAATTCATAATTTCCCTCAGTTGGTGCATGTTGGCTTGGGAATGAGGCTGATGGGTTTTATGCCAAGTGAACATATGGCACAAATAGTATCTCATGTCTAATGTTCCTAAAATGAATGTATTTTTTGTGCCCTTAAATGACAAAGAGGTGTCCACCAGAGAGTTTGCCCACAAAGGAGAGAGCAAATATGGCAGAATGAGTGATCAAATATGTGGCAAGTGCAAAGGGATTGGACATGGGAATAAAGACTTGAAAGGTAATGTCTATTGTGTGGTTTGCAAGAGGTATTCCCACGGGACTGAACACTGTACTGCGTTGAAGCAACCTAAACCTGTTGCAAAATATGTGGGTTTTGGAGCTAGAGAGTTGGGCTACATATTAGTCTTGTATGGGCGTATCGATGTCATTGGGCTTGTCATCCAAGTTATACAGAGGACGAATGTTGCTCATTATTATTTTATCTCTTGATGTTATATGATGAGTTAATAGAGACGCCCTTTATCACAAAATAAATCTGATATCTAGACGGTTTTCTATCTTCACTCTCCGGGTGGGGTAGAGAACAATGTTAAGTTCAGGTGCAAGAATGGCCTTTTGGTCCTGTTGTAGTAATGGGTTCAACCCTACTCAAGGTCCCACCCCCTATCCTACATGGCATGCCACATCGGTAGTCAACAAAATTGAAGGATATTCCACGCAAGTCAATGAGGTGAACAAATAGTCCAAGCAAGCTGTCGTGGGTCCTAGCAAGCCACCTTGGTCAATGGAAGTCCAAGCAAACATTTATGGTCAACAAGTTAAAGAAAGAAGACCACATTACAAAGTAGCAAAGAGCCCGAGCCCAATCAAGAAGGCCTTCAAATAGTATAGGGATTCTCTACTTAGTGGGCTACAACCCACCTCCTAACTAGACTAGAGGCACATGAATCAAAGGACGGGAAATTATCTATAGTTCTACCCTCCTACCTCGTCTCCTCAAGGGTAGCCTTGGTCATTTGTGAAGGACCCCTAGGCTATATAAGGTCCTCCATGGGCATGTAAAGAGCTTTGCTGCATCTACATAATTTTTTCTACATAACCTACAAAAAAGTTGAGGTGGTCAGATTTGGTTGGGAGAGAAAACATGCCCACTCCTACCCACTGAAAATCAGGGGGACCTAATTAGTTTAGGATGGAAGGAACATAAGTTTACGTAGTTAGATTACGTAGGTCTAGCATTTTTGGAATGTAAAATACCGACCGTGGGGAATCCTCATCGTGTGAAAAGTTATCAACCCATGAGGCTAGATGGGCCTGCCTAAATTAAGTTTTGACCAAAGCAGAAGGCAAGAAACTGTAAGGCATGTCAATGCCGAAAGGATCCTTACGCTGCGACGCCGCTTATCTTGTCAAGCTCGGAGTCGCCGGGGGTGCAAAATCTTGGCTAACAATATGACATATGTCTAAACTTGTTGTATGTGGTCTCCTTGCATCACTAGTTGAAGGTTGCCTCGACAGCATGGCCCGTCACAACCTTATGTTGTTGTATCATAAATAATTTGGAACGAGCAGAACACAAGCCTTCAAAAGTGTTTGGTTCTTGTTACCAAAAGCTTGTATGATGGCCGAAGCAAAGCAATTAGGAGAGTTGATATTGGAAGAGTATGCTTTCGGTTTGACCCTTTTTCTCTCTCTCTCTCTCTTGTACATGTTATAAGACCCTACTTATATTAAATAAACATGGCAAAGCATTTGCCTTTGTTAAAAGAAAACAGTTGCAGTGGACATACAGTGCCCATTCCATATGAATCCTTCTCTTATTAATTACTCATTATGTTCTTAAATATGGTTGAAGAGAATAGTATAAAATAGCCACATGCATGTGTTATCAGAATATTCGATGGGAATCAGCTGGCGAGGCCATATATTGCAGTATTAATTTCGTTGGGATTAACTTAATGGCATTCACAAAAAAGTGTGATGCTTAGAAATATATTTGGGACATACCCCTGAATATGCAGCTAGCTGTCACCACTTGTGGTTCCAGGTCCATGCGTCACCGATAGACATCCGGTGTTCTTTGGTATTGTTCCACAAATTTTGTTCTCTCAGTGCTGTTTCTTTTCTTCTGTACTTTTCAGTTCAACAAATAACGTAGGTTAGGGCAGTTGCATACATTACAGGTGTTTCTATGAATTATGGCCACTTGACAGCTCAAGTTAGGTTTGATTTCTCTTGATAATATAAATTCACATCTTTATGTAAGCATACACAGCCTGTCTCGGCCTGAGCTTTAGCTTTACAGGGTTTTGAGAACATTTCCTCAAAGAAATGCTGAAAAAAAGAGACGGGCTGGACGCACTTGCAAGTTGTAAAGAAGTGGAACAAACAATTCACGATTTTTCTCACTGAACTAGTGCATACCACACGTTTATGATGGCAGTTTTGCCGTGGCGACTGTACCATACAC